CACACGCCAGCCGGCCGCAGCTCCCGCCCCGCCCACACGCCAGCCGCAGCTCCCGCCTACACGCCCGACGGCCGCAGCTCCCGCCCACATGCCCGCACGCACGATGGAAGCGGAATATCATCCGCCGACACCGGGACCGGCAACAGCACTCCGCCTTCCGGGACCTCGTCCAGTCCTCCCCCAGCCAGGTAAGACATCCCCCGAAAATAAGACCTAGTGTCTTTTTTCGTGCAAAAAAAATAAATAAGACACTGTCTTATTTTCGGGGAAACACGGTAGTACCCTGAAGCCGTTTTTGCCCTTTTTTAGCACACACGTAAAAATGCACATTTTAGGCCTTAAAATTGCTTAAAGTCCCTTGAAGGGTAAGTTCATTTTCCCAAGTGAATTTGGGAAAATGGAATTACTCACTCAAAACTGGTCCCCTCTCCCACCTTTAAAATCCACCGGTACAAGTTTTTTATTCATACCCGGTACTACAGTGCAGCGCAGTCATGTGATATGAATTTTTAATTTCAATTGCAAATTCGGAGCACACATTGGTCAGCACATTAGTCATGCACTTTTTTTCAGTGCATACCACCACACCACAATGCAGTTGTGTGAACCGAGATCATCTGGAAGAAGGCAAATTACTTTGAATTGTGTTGGGGCTGCACTGGAAAAAATACCCAGCGCAGCCCCAATGCCCCGGGTGTGTACGGACCCTGAACAGAGAAAAAAGTTTCTTACATAGTTACATAGTTACATAGTATTTGAGGTTGAATAAAGACATTAGTCCATCAAGTCAAACCTATTAGGATCTCATTCTAGGAGTACCTGTACCCCTGTATATTACGGTCCCTTAAGAAATCGTCCAAAAGTTTCTTGAACAATTCCACATTCTTTGCTGAAATCACTGTCTGTGGCAGTGAGTTCCAGACCCTAACTGATCTTACTGTGAAGAACCCCCTTCGCCCCTTGTGCTGGAATTTTTTTTCCACCAATTTTAGGTGGTGGCCTCTAGTTTTTGTAATGGAGTTAATTTTAAACAGTTTATCGCTAATGTTGCTGCCACCATTGAACATTTTGTACATGGAGATCATATCCCCCCTTAATCTCCTCACCTCCAATGTGAACATGTTTAAATTTAGTAGCCTTGTCTCGTAGCTCTGGTCCTCCATACCCCTAATTAGTTTGGTTGCCCTCCGCTGGACTTTTTCCAACTCAAGGACATCTTTTCTTAGTACTGGTGACCAGAACTGGACCGCGTACTCCAGATGAGGTCGAACCAATGATCTATAAAGTGGCAAAATTATAGACTTGTCCCTGCAATACATCCCCTTTTTAATACAGGACAAGACCCTGCTAGCTTTGTTTACAGCAGCCTGGCACTGCAAACTACCTTTCAGTTTGTGGTCTACAATGACCCCCAAATCCTTCTCCATTTCTGACTTCCCTAGCGGCATACCCATAATTGTATAACCCATTTGTTTATTTTTAATTCCAAAGTGCATTACTTTGCATTTATCGACATTAAACCTCATCTGCCACATTAATGCCCACTCCCCTATTTTATCCAGGTCCTCCTGTAATGTTATAATGTCTAAGTCCGTGTCTATTACCCTCCCAATTTTGGTGTCATCCGCAAACACGGAAATATCGCTGTTAACACCCTCCCCTCCATCCATATCTCTACTCACCCCCTCATAAAAAGTTAGCAAGTTAGTTAGGCAGGAACGGTCTTTCCTGAACCCATGCTGATTGTCATTAACTATCCCGTTTTCCTGAACAAATTCTACCAGATAATCCTTTATTATGCCCTCTAGCATTTTACAAACTACCGATGTTAGACTGACCGGCCTATAGTTCCCAGGTTGGCAACTAGCCCCCTTTTTGAATATTGGGACTACCGTAGCCCTCCGCCAATCACCGGGGATCCTACCAGTCATTAAGGAGTCCTTAAAAATGAGGATTAATGGTCTAGTTATAACCTGGCTTAATTCCTTAAGTACCTTGGGGTGCAGGTTATCCGCTTGGGGTGCAGGTTATCCGTTTCTGTGTTACATTTCACTAGTTAGGCATTGAATCTATTGCCAGTGCTCTCACTGGATGGGCAAGTTTAAGGATTCAGGTCATGACATCACTGAGACAGCTTTTCTAGTAATGTGATGGGCGACAATCTCAATACAAATTAATAAACTAAACGTGAGATTGTAGTCCATCAAATGAGTGAGTTTGGATCGGTGGCTACTTTACACGTAACGTTTACACGTAACATACGTAGGGCTGAGCATTTTATGTCACTCCTCTCAGCTGAGCTGGACGGATAGGAGTCCCTTTGCACCCATAGATTTGTACTGTGGTGTCCATTGGATATTTGTTTTATGCCTTTTGTCATTTGTGACATTATGTTATTTGCGAGCTGAGGAGGTCACCTGGTCTTCAGTCATACGGGCTTCCCTCCCCTATTAAGAAGGGAAACGCGCTTTAGACCTAGTTTTGTGGGTCTATCTCCCCAAGGGGAGCACTGTTCCAATTTGTCATTGAC